TGTATCGGGGCAGTTCTGTCATTTCGCTACGGGTCTTTTGAAATAGGGCTTCTAGCCCTATTTTGTTCACTTCCTTTTGCTCGAAAATCCTCTCCCTCTCTCTCTAGAGTGTTTTCCTTCTTCGATTCTCTCATTTTCATGCGTTCTAGCCCCCGTTTCGTTGTCCGATTCGCGAATACCTTCGCGTTTCGAACGTTTTGAACCGATTGAAATTTCATTTTGGCGAATACCTTCGCGTTTCGAACGTTTTGAACCGATTGAAATTTCATTTTGGTGTCTCGTTCTTGATTTTCGCCACTCAGGGCTCGTTTCCCTCGAGTTTTTCTCAATATCTGTGCCTTTTCTGCACTCCAGCTTTTCCGACCTTTTCCAGCCCTCCCGGGGTTGACTTTCTGTTGACTTTTCACATTCTCGCCCGATTTTTCGTCTTCCGGCAATTTTCATATCCTCTTCGAGATGGCAGACGATCTTCCACTGGGCGGGACCCCTCTAGAGCTCGAGATGGATCCCGAGGCCTACCCCTTGCCACTTCACATCCGGCCGTTCGATCCGGAGACCTACAGGCCTGCAGTTCATGTGATGCTCCCCGATGGACTACGCCAGTTCTGGAGCTTCGAGAGGGGCGTGGCACCCGAGCTTCTCCTGCGTGAGCCTACCTCCCATCTGTCCTTCGGCGCTTCCGAGGTAACATTCTTTCTTCTGTTTTATTATTTTCCGTAATGTAGAACATAACTGTCATTAGTTGATTCTGTTCTCTAACTGCTTAGCCCGGATTCACCGATACACTGTACACTGTAGCTGATTGCGAACAAACTTACAACCGATATCTGTTTGAAACTTACACGTGCACACACACTGCACTGACCCTGAATCACCCAAACACACGGCGCACACTGTATTTCACTGCATACACACTGGTACCCGGTATCTGTTTGAGTCTGAAAACATGCACACATGCTGTATTTGCCCTGAACCACTCAAACACGCTGACACATCACACGTTGTAGTTCACTGCAAGTACACCGGCACCCGATGTCTGTTCGAATTTGAAAACATGCACGCATGCTGTATACCTGTATGCTTCTTAAAACTGCGTTTTGAATATTGCCTCGCAATTGTTTTTTTTTTATTACAGGGGGATTCCCATACCATCTGCGGGTATGGGAATATCGTCGCTCAGGATTGGTACCTAGAGCTTCCAGACGCTGTTCGTCATATCGTCGACGAGGCCGGTTTCGGCATCTTCTGCAGGGGGCTCTCCCGGCTCACGACCTGCAGGCCCTTGCTTGCCGCTCTAGTGGAGAGGTGGTGGGATACCACCAACTCCTTCCACT